TACCAATGTCAATTAACAACAAACCTAACAAGAAATAATACTAACGTAACTTCAGAATATCTAAATTTACACCTTATACGTGATCGTGCTGGTCCTGCACGGTGTCACGCGCTGCGCAGTAACCCTAATTATTTGATTCTTTTCTCTTATATAGCTATTTGAATTAATAATAAACTACACCTTTTTTTATCATATTAAACATTCAAGTCTAACCACTATCAATTTCCGTGAAACTCCGTTCATGGTATATATTTTTTTTTGTTAAGTTTGGAAAATATTTCACGAACATTCTCAGAATACATTTTATCTTACTTTGATATAATTACAAGAACATGGTGGGATGGTACAGTACAAACAGGCCACGATATTTCTACGAGTTCACGATAACGTATATTTTAAGCTGTAAATAATAACAATTATTTAGCAGATCCTATATTAGTCTTAATACTAAGCCCCAACATTTTTTTACCATAAATACAACTTGAGTTCGATAAAAAACATTTGGGGAACTTGACAGATCTTCATTACGCACGTAACATTTAAAGTTAAAGATAATATTAGAAATTTTTTGACGGGCGACTTCCTTATTGGTAAAATAGGCAATGTGGAAAATCACAAAATAACGAATCAATGCAAATAAATTAAGATCGCAAAACAAACACAAAACAATTTCTTAATGGTGTTAATAAGTCTATTAGTATATAAAACAGCCTTTTAATTAAATAATATATATTAAAGCAATATATTATTAATATATATACGTACTAGTGGAATGATCTGGTATTGTAAAATAATTTTTTTATATGTTGCACACCGGGTAAACTGTTGAAAATTATGGATCTGGATCCGATCCGGTTAACGGATCCAAATCAAATCCGGATCTTTGGATCCATTTCGCGAAACACTAGTTCTAAATGACTTAGATTGACGCGTAGTAACCTTCACAAAATGTGTTCATGTTTCATAATTAATTTTGATATAGGATAAACTTGTTAGTTTAGAACCAATAAACATTACAATACTAATAAATATCGTGCTTAACCTAGTTGAACTGTATCTTGGTTAAAAGAAAGTTTTATTAAATGAAAGAGAGTATAGTATATATAGTATAAAATGAATAATGTGGTACATATGACATTCAAAGAACCACTATCTTCATAATGCAAAGTTATTTTGGCACTTAATTGTAAAATTTTTCAAAATTTGGGAACTTATTCATAGTTATTTTCTCTTGGGCCCTTATTTCATTTTCAGACCCTTGTATGTAATTTCCCCTTAAATTTTAATGAAAATAAATAGTAACATACGGAAAAAATTAAAGCCCGTCCAGATATAAGACCTAATGAGTTTTATTATATACCTTCTTTATCTTTTTCAGTCAAAATTTCAAAATTAACTTGCTCTTCTTGTTGATCTAGAATTGTAAAGCTAAAAAACTGGCTTTTATACGCTGCCTCAAAATGGGTCTCTAATTGCGCATATTTGGCAATAATATTTTTCATTTTTTCATCAGATTTACCAAATTCCATTAAAATTTCTTTATTATTTTTCCAATTTTCTATCATTTCATAAATTTCTTTCGCATTTGGTCTTTCTCTAGGATTGCTATCCCAACACCTTTCCATAAGCATTTTATAACAATGTGCAGTGCCCTCTAAAATAGTTGGCCGC